CCTTCCCACCCAAAGCATTCTGTGATTCTATGATTCTATGAGGTCTGAGTCCTCTTAATTCAGATACTCAGTTGTATAAGCTCTTAATATTCCTGTCTTTAGAATTTAAAGGAAGGCTGTAGCTCTCACTTTAAAATATATTAGTCTTATTAAAAAGCTCCTATACTAAAATATGAGATCTGGTAATTGGGAAGTGGATTCATCTACAAATTACTTTCAGAGTTTATGTAAGGACATGCTGAATTTAGATCAAACCAACCTTCTCCAGTGGTATTTTGGGGCAAACAGTGGCTCTTTTTCTTTCTTTTTGTTTGCAAGTCTTTGTCAGTACCATATCAGTTGTTAAAATGACTCATAAAATATGGTATATGAGGAACACCTGCTGTGAATTTCTGTTAGCACAAACATACCATGATGGCAAAAATAGGGCTATAATAAGGCTTTTTATGATCTTAAAATATCAAGATAAGTGCAAGTTTCGAATTGTGATCCCCCAAAATGAAACTCTGGGAAACAATCCACACTACAAAAATACAACCCTTCAAACATCTTTAACAATTATTTATTGTAATTATGTGTTATTCAGATACCAAAATAGTACTTGCTGTAGTTGGCAAAAGCAGATCTGTGCTCCAAGTCTCTAATCTAAATAACGCAGCGGCAGATAACAAGAGATGGCAGCAGATGAAGTCCAGGGAAGTCCAGGATGTACAAAAGGACTAAAAGGCTCGAGCAGCTCCTCTTGGTACAGAGCCACCTCATTAACACTTTTTGAATTAATCAGCTTGAAGAAACAGAGTTCTTTTAAATGAGTTTTAAACAAGTTTGAGTTTTAAACAAGTTTAAGTTTTAAATGGGTGGTGTTCTTGGCCTTACTAAGTATGAGTAAGTGGGGGCTTGAGGTGAGTTAGCAGAAATCATTGGGAAATTATTGTCTTTCCCTTAATACCAGCTCTACCAACCCCTCAGCAGATCAGAAATGCACTAGTAAAAATCAGGAGTAACTCCAAACAAGGGCAGACTGTGGCATAAAACTGACACACGCAGTGCCTAAAAACAGTGTCAGCATTATAACAGCCAGTTAAAGCACTGAACTTAGGAGCATCATGAGAAAGAAACATAAATGGTACAACTTCATAATTATTTTTATGGACAGAATTGTTTCCCTTTTTGCCTCAGTCCCAGCTGGCTCACAGCTGTGGATGCAGCTTGTAGATCCTCTCATGGCCATCGTGTCCCATGGATAAAGCCATCACTACCTGGCTTTATGCTGGGGCTGGGGAGCCAGAAAGTGCTCTAGCCTCCACTTGAAGCTGAACAGGGACCTCAGAGTAGGGTGGAGGCAACATCATCCCCTGGCACTTCTTCGTTCCTTCTTTCCCCAGAGCAGGAGGTTACAGCAGTGGAGGAGGGAAGACAGATGCAGGTGCTGCCAGAGTGCAATCGCTCCTCCTTACAAATCCAAGCTTGTATGTGTCCCAAGGAGTTTGATGATGTTGTGTGGCCCCAGCTGCTTCTCGCCATTTCCTGGAGCGCACAGTGGGCTGATAGACAAAATGTGTTGCACGTGGGAGGGCATTGGCACCAGCTTCTGGGCAAAAGTCTACACCAGGGTTATGTTGAAACATTGGGTATCCATCACTTGTATAGGTGAAGACCCCAAGGGCCAGGTGGTGCAATGGCACCCTGTTACGGTCAGGCTGTCAGAGTACCAGCAGATGCTGCACCTTTTTACAACCCCAGATATTGTAGGGGAAGAAGTGCGCTCTCACAGCACCTAGTGAGAGCTTTGCTGTGTAGCAGTAGCACATTCAAAACATATGGATGGAGGACTATGCTGTAGCAGATGGAGCTTGGTTGGGCTCTCCAACCCACCTGACGTCAGTATAAGTGTCACAAGGCTTTGTGGAGTGACTTTTGTTTTCTCTCAGCATAACCAATTGCTGTGCTTAGTGCTGTGGCATTTTTTCCTAATCAGCTCTAGCTAAAACATCCTTGCTGCAACTGTTAACTGTAAAGGCATTTCCTCTCTTACAACTGTTTATTTCCAGCGGAGAAGATACAAAAATTCTCTAATACCTATTGTTTTCCTTTTTCTTTTTTTAAATGCTGTATAAAAATGTTGCATTACACTACCTGGATTTACCGTATTTACCTGCCTTCAAATGAATCCTTCTGTTGTATTACTCTGCAGTGATGGTATGTTGGACCTCACAAGTAAAGGATGAGCCTTAGTTCTTATTTGGGGTGCCAAAGGAGAAGTTTGTTATCCCATGAAAGTTACTCAAAACTCAAGATGTCAGCTTCTTCCATTAGTCACCGTACAGGATTCTGGAGAGGTGCTCCATATAGGTCGTAGGAGCAACTCTCTAGGATTTAGGCGAATCAAATTATATTCATGTATGATATAACTAAGGATTGTATTAAATGCAAAGCATCAGCCAACAGATGTTGTTACTGGGCATACATACTCAAAACCCATTTTGCTTGTTCTCCTTTCTAGCCTGAGAACCTGCTTTACTACAGCCAGGATGAAGAGTCAAAAATCATGATCAGTGACTTTGGATTGTCAAAGATGGAGGGTAAAGGAGATGTGATGTCCACAGCCTGTGGGACTCCTGGCTATGTTGGTAAGAGGTTTTGTTATACTGTCCATCTGCTTTTCCCAGCTGCAGTACAGACACATAGTGAAAAGGGAATAATACTTGTTTTCCAGTGCCACTACATAGTGCACATGAGATTTTACAGATGTTCATTAGAAATAGAGATTTCAGAAGTTGCTGGTGCTTTGCCCTGTGTGCTCTTCTCCTTTGGGTCCACATCCCGCAATCCAGCTCAGGGTCTGTGGGATTCACTTTCATGATTTTAATCCTTTGCAAAATGAGTTTTCTCAAAGACACTGCTTGTAGCTAAATTAGGAGCACGTGACGAATATCCTCAAACACATTGATTCTGCAAGCACCTATAAAACCAAGAAGCTTTACCTAATGTAACATTATTTTAATCACAAAGGACAGCATTGGCCAGATTCCCCTGATAGAAGACAGTAAAATGAAAGAGCTACATTTATTCAGACATGTTCAGTCATCCTCTGTTACAACCATGTTAAATTACTGACTCCTACGTGTCAGTATGCAAAAGCTCTTTAGATCCTCGTGCCTTCCTAGGCCATATCAAATTGTTTCCTATCATTTATTCTTTGCTCTTTTGTCCATTCAGTAGTGATTGTACCAGGCTACTGATTAGCAGTGTGTTTACCAGCATCTTTTTAACAAAGTTAAAGTAACCGAATGTGAGCATTATATGGCAGGTGACAACAGGATCTGTTTGAACAAAGACTATTTAAAAGGCTCAATTCATGCATGAGATGGATGCAGCAAGCCTGTTCCCCCTACAATACCTAGCTAGTCAGCTGAGATGGTAAAATTAATCTCTGGGGTATCCATGAAATCCGTGAAACTAAAGTGACAGTGGCTTCCCCAGGGATAGATTTGTCTCACATCTTTCTGGTAGGAAAGACCTGATGTTTTCCAGCAGTCAGTGAGGCTTCTTTTGCTTTGCAGCTGCCACCTCACCTGTGTTTTCATACCTCTTATGATACCATGGTATGAGAACTCATGAGAACAGAGAACAGATGATGTCGTTACGACATAGTAATCCAGATTTGTCCCAGGAATACCATTTTCTAGACATTATCTTCCCACTGCACAGGCACACTCTATCCTGATAACATCAGGAAAAGAACAGATTTCTTTGGTTTCCCATTGTGAATCCATCAGCCCATCATTTTTTTATTTTAAGACATATGAGTCAGGATGCACTCTGTACAGCCTGAATAGCTGCCTTGTGTAATCACACCACACTGGAAATCTTCTTCCAAAGCACTAGCAGGAATTGAGCTGAGACAGCAGTTTTCATAATTTTTGCTGTCAGCTGTTCTGTCTTTAACTAACATGTTTTATTTTGTTCTGAAATGGGCACTGGCTGGAATAAGTCCATGAGACGCGGGGAAGCTCAGATGATGTTTGCTGAAGCACTGATGAAAATGAGGGAGTGCGACTGCTTGGGCACTGAGTGGTCTCATATGGCCTTTCAGCACAGCCATTTGCATAAGAAAACTTGCTATTTTGGAGAGGAAACTCTCATAGCATGTGACCCAAATTGTAGTGCTTTGAGAGATGTTTGAGAGCTCTCATTACTCATGGTCTGGGCACTGATAGCTACACAAGTGCCTCCAGGCCCGTTGTTACCTTACTGAATGCAGGATTCATGGTTCAAGAGGTCACAGCCGCTTATTTCTGAAGTGCTGACAGGAGTTTTTCCCCCCTCTCACAAAGAAAAACCTCTTTAAATATTTGTTCTATTTCTTTTTTGCACCCAAGACAGCTCCTCTTTAGTGCTGCTTTTTTTTTTTTAATGTAATTGGTTGCCCAGACAACATTTTCCAAGCACAGAAGATTTTTATTGTCAGTCACTGTGGTGATGCCCACAAACGGACCTCCACGAGTGTTATACCTGATGACATGGCTTCTGCATACCTGGTCTGCAATTTGTCCACATCCAAAAGCTTTCATGCCTTCCAGCGTCACTCCAACTTGCAGCACCTGCCTAATGCCCTCAAATAAATGTAAGAGTCCTTCCTCCTAATGGCACAACATGAATACGTGTCCTCATCTGGATTGGGGCAGACAACAGGCCACAGTGCTGGACCATGAAGTCCTCTCTGCCAACTCTTTCTCTTTTTTTTTTTTTTCCCATCCATTTTGCCTAGTGTTGAAGTAACACTAGGGATCCATCACTCACAACTCAATTCCTGGCACTTTTCTTTAAAGATATGTAGAACATCCCATTTGCTAAGATATTATGAGGAATTAAGTATTTTTGTCAGTTTAACCACTTTGCTTTTTAATTCCTGGAAAAAAAAGGCACCTATCACATGCCAAATGCACCAGTGCTCAGTTAAGAAGTCATTAACATCTGCTACTATTTATACTTCTTTACCTCCAGAAATGGATCCAAGTTGGATCCTGCTGTGCAAAGTGCTGGACAAGCTTCTGACTTGGTAGCAGACCTGATCTTAACTCAGGTCTGCTGCTCTTTGCAAGCATTTGCAAGTGTGCAAGGCCCCCTGTCATTTCTATCTAATTTCCTGGATTAGGATATACTTTCAACTCTCTGTGTTTCAGTTTTTAACTCAACTTTTCTTAGTTTCAGGTCCAAAGAATAGTGGTACCCGAGACACTAAATTCCTGTTTATGTGGTTCAGAAATTCATCAAATAAGTGAGGGTGTAATTATAATTAATCTTCCTAATAAATACCAGTTTTCTTTCTGAAAATCAAAGGTTACTTATCAAATTAGAGTATATCTAAAATGTGCATAACCAGTAGTGCATTAGCACATTAGCTTTTAAGGCTCTACCTTACAGATTAAATTACTGCCAACAGTTCAAAGAGCTCATTCTTTCAGGAGCCTTGTCAGAGATTTTGGTCCTATGGTGAAAAGATGACAGTTAGGATAATTTAACCCAATTAGACTTAGTTGAGGCACTTTTGTTAAGATGCAAATCTAAATGTTTACTTACTGAAGAGGAGGTCTGATAATGCAACCTCTTCTAATGAAAAGGTCTTACATTTTCTTATCTGCATAGGACTCATCTCTCTCCGTTTCTTATGCAGGGGGTCTAGGTGATGAGCTGGGACTAGACACCCAACTTTTAGATAGCACCTAAATTGGGTAAGATGAGGCAGCTTGTGTGGCTCATTTAATTGCAGATTAGGTGTGTGGACTGGCTTGCATGGATCCTACCCCATCTTCTAGACTAGAGAAGAAGTGGAGTAATCAAAACCCTGAGAGATCTTGTGATCATGGGCAAGATCTGTATAAGCCATTAGCAATCTGTCATGGGCTGCTTGGCTTGAGACTGTTCATAAGAACTTGATTTTGATGAAGGAGGTGTTCAAAACTGCCTGAAAATGAGTCATCCTTGAGGTGTGTCAAGTTGGGCACTCACCAGGAGGTGACTCCAGTCACTCAGCAAATTCCTCTAAAGAGATTTTGGCTGTTTGGGAATTAGGTCTCACTGACTGAATTTCTATTAGAGCTGGTCTCTCAAAAGCTTTGGTTACTTCTGCAGATGGGACTTAGACTCATGAGATGCTTATGAGCACTGAAAAGTTAGGAAAAAATGTTAGAAAGGCTGTCTCAGGCAATCTGATCTCCTTTTGCAGAAATGCTGAATTATGAACTGTGTTTGTGGCTGGCTAATCTTAATCCTACTGAGATTTAAAATTCTTGCTCTGAGTCCCAGCCCAACTTCAAGTAAAATTTTCTTGTATTTCCCTGTCATAGGGATTGGGCTGGACCCTGGATGTGTGGTTGGTCCCTGTACACCCCACCTCATTCACTGTTTTTATTCTTTGTAGTGCTTTTATGAAAGGTCATTTCACACCTTTCAGCTCTGTCAGAAATCCAGTAGCAATTTCAGATCATATCAAAGCCATGTGTTTCTCTTAGCCCTGCACAAGACCGAAGCATTTAAGTTAAGCAATAGATTTCCGTGTTGAATTTTGACTTATTTGGTATCCTTTGAGTCAAAGGTTTGAAAATACTCAATTAGCCTTTGGAATACCCTTATTAGCAAAAAGCAACTTCAGGAGTTGTTTAGGCAGTAACATGAGTAATAAAGTAAAAATAAAGCATGAGAACTGCTCTCACCAGTGTTTGCTCAGGCATAAGCTTGTGACAGTGCAATTGCTCAGCTCCATTGCCGTATCCTGAAACGGGGTTTGCTTGCATATGGTTGGAGCTGCATTATGTTCCATGACAGCTATCTAAATCTGACTCAGTAACATGAAATAGGAACAACAGCAGCACAAGAAGCCAGCAACACTGCACCAAAACCCTGCTGTCCTTTGGAAACAGCTACAAACTGCCACGTCTTGGCCAACCAGAACAAGATGAGCACTGGAGGACTGTGTGAAAGCAGGAAAGAAGTTGTTTTAATGCCAGGAGTCAGTGGAAGAGGGACTCTGGTCTTGTGGTGAAGCTGCTCCATGTGCCTCTTAGCCTGTTTGCACCATGAGGAAGATGCTTTATATAGCAGCAGGGGAGCTCACACTGCTCTTGCATTGTCTTTGGCTTTAGGAGAGGGGCTGTGTTGGTCCTTTGTGCATCCAACCATCTTCTCAGTGGTGCAGGGTTGATCGTCTCTGTCCATCTTCTTGAGGTGGTACTTTCGAGTCCTAAGCAACAGGGCTGGCACCATCTGTCTTTGGTGTCCCTTACAAACTCTGTCCATTACTCACCTTTCCTCTCAGATTTCATGGCTGCCTTGTACCTGTGCAGCCCATTCACATTCCCCTTCTTTACTTGCAGGACCTGCCTACATGATGGAGACTGGCACTAAAATAGTTAACAGCTGAACTACTAGTCCTGGCTTGCACCAGGCCAATTTGCTGGGCCAGTTGAGCTATGTCCCTGCCCAGTGTAAGCAGGTCCGTGGTTATTTTAACCCTATTTAGATCCTTTTATTCCTCCCACATTTACGGCAGCCTGCTGATTTGTCACTCCTATGGGGATCTTCAAAACCATCGCCCTTTGTTCAAATGTCCCATTGCTTCTGGCATGCAGCTTGTGGGAAGCCATATAAACCACAGAAAATAGCATTAGACTGAGTTCTTGTGAGACAGCAAAATCTGCTGGGAGTAGCACCATCATGGGAGTGAAGAATTGCTTTTAAGTATGAGGCTGGTATGAAGAACAGGCACCCTCATGACTTGCACAGTTTGCTCAACAGGCTTAAAGTATCAGAGCAATCTCCATCACTTGAGCTCTTTGCAAGAACATGGATAGCTGGTTTTGGCATCCAGCAGCTGCATTTTTAGGGAGCTTGTGAGCATAGCTGTGCTCACTGGGGGTAATGGCGTAGTGCTCTGAAAGGTTTCCAAATGTTCCTGTTCTGTGTCTTCTTTTAAAACCTCCATTTGAAACAAGCCTTGTAATCTTTTCTCTTATAAAAAGTAAAACATAACTAAACATCAACAAAAAAAAACCACAACACCTCTAACTGTAAAACAGCAGATGTCCTGCAAGTGAAGTGCCCTGGGAAGCACATCTTCATGTACCTGCAGGTGGGATGAGGCCCTGGGATGACTACCCAACGTTTTACCTGCCACATGTTGCTGGTAGCAATGCTGATCTGGCCTGAAACACAGTTCCTGGATGTGAAGCACCCACAGGGCAATGTACTGGGGAAGGGTCCAGGTTTGCTTCGTTGACTTCCCCATCTCTGGATGACTGCTGCATTTGAGCCCACAGTGATTCCCTGGGGAGGTGTGATACTGGCAGCTCAGCTGGCATTTCCCCAGCACCAGAAAAGGCAGCTTTGACTTTCCCATTCTCCTTATTGCTGTTTTGTCTCTTCAGTCATCTGTGTTGATCCTTTAATGCCATCAGCTCTTGGATTTTTTTCATTGCGTCTCCTGCTTTTGCCTCTTGGCACTGATCTACCATCATTCTGAGAGCTCCTCTGACTTGTTTTTCAGCTCATTAGATATTTCCATCTTTTCCATATATCAGAGACTGATGATGCTTAGCTATGTTCTTCTGCTCCTGTTGCATGTCTGCTCTTTTGAACAAAAACCAAAAGCAGCCATTTGGCTTTAAAATAATTATTTAAACCTCCTGCCTTTCTTCATTAAACTTTACCAAAGGGGAGGTAATAACCTCACATTTGCTTTGGGCTTGATTCTGTGGTCTTCTTACTTGCCTCACAGCCACCATCTGCAGCACCAACTGTCTGTTATCTGTGTTCCTCACTCCTTTAAAACAGAGAGAAATGCCCCAACACAGCTTTGATGTTTTAACAGAGAGAATCTTTATATAGTTCACATCCCCTTGTCTCAGATTTGTTTTCTGTTATGTTAATGTGGCATATCTGTATAATGTCAGGAGCTCACTAGGATCTGTGGTGCTCAGGATCCATTTGCATAATATTTTCTTTGGGGGATATAAGATGTATAATGTTTACCAGTCTTGAAAATTATGCAAACAGGAGCAGACAGTCAAAGGTAGAAGGGAGATGCGAATAAAATACTGGGAATTTGGAAGGACTGGAGACTTGGAAGACATCTAATCACCTAAGGACAGGGGAAAATAAACTCCCTTCTTCAGTATATTTTGTCACAAAATCTAGTCACAAGAGGTGGGACAAAAAAGGAAATGGTGTCTCACAAACCCTACTTGATGCACATTTTGAAAGAAGATTCTTTTTAGAGGAAAACTTGGAAGCAAGTTTTGCTGAATCAGGAGAGAGTCAGGTTAAGGGACACAAGTGTTGTCTGGGAAGGTTGTCTTGAGCAACTTTGAGGTACAACTGGTTTATACAAGAAAAATGTAAATTTGCCATATTCTGCAAACTCGCCAGGTGATCTAGGAGGCGGTGGCAGGCCAAATAGACTGGCTCTCCAGTGCTTTATTCTTTTATCCCAGGCTGTTCTTCAAATTCACCCCCACCAGACTGTCTAGCACCAACCTGACACACAGACCCTGACCCAGCTCTTGAGAAAGGATTTACCTTTTGGGCACCAGCTGAAGATGCCTTTTATATTTCCACAGCTCTGTCCCTATTGTAATACAAACATTTTCACCTTTATCTTGATAGACTACAGCACTGTGCCCATGTCCTAGAAGGAGTCAGGGGCTTCTCAGGAACTGGGGTGCAGGTTTCTGCCAAGAACCTGGGGCCAAATTAAGAGTCATTCATGCTAAGTAGAATGGAAAGAAAATTCATTTGGCACATAGTGGGTGTTGGACTATTCACACGTTGCAACAGTGTATTAGGAATAACGATATATGAACAGAACCACCATTTTAATTTCTTATACATGCAGTGGTCCCAGTTTGCTGAATGACTTGAAGACTGGGGTAATATTTACCCTGTGCTGCAGATTGGGGCATATCCCAGTATTCAAGAGTATTCATAATCTGGCTGCCAGCTATATTTTTACCCACATTCCCCTGGATTTTCTTCCTTTTTACAGTGTCTCCCCAGTGGGACTTGACCCTTTCCATCATTCTGCTCCTTGTAGAAATGCAACCTGGATGCCCTCATCTTCCCTTCAAACCATTCTATAAGCCCGCGTGCCCAAGCACCAGAAAGTCTTTTCTGTTTCTCATTATTGCTTCTTATTCCCTTCCTTGCTGGCAGTTTTGACCTTAGTTTTGTTGACTTGTCTAGCTTAAGAAGATAACTCTTTGAAGAGTCCTTACCAATACACCAAAGCGCCTGTAGCAACTAAATGAGAGGCTCAAGTTTTAGTACATTTATGTGTTTCACAAATTTTTTGCTATTCTTCAAGTAACTAACTGATGTTGGTAAGACTCCTAGCAAAGGAAGGTGTAACCCCAAAGAAATATTTTTTCTGGAAATTGGCCCTTCATGATTCTTTTGCAGCATTTGTACTCCAAAGTACACAGAGGAAATACTGTCCTTTTTAAAACCCAGTGTGGCAAGTCTGCTTTAGGAATGCCACAAGCAGTGATTTCTTGCATTATTGTGGACATTTTGCTTTGAAAAAAGCAAAAGCTTCTTTACATGAAAAAGATTAGAGTCACAGGGTTTTAAAATTCAGGTTTAAGCATTTGCACTGAAAGGTCCCAACAGGGAAAACATAATACTCCAGGCTCACAAACAAAAAATGCACCTTTTTAACTCTCACTGGTGTAAGAAAGGAAAGCAGGCCCACACAGAGTTTCAATAAATGCCCAGGCTCTCACTTCTTGCAAAATTCAGACTATGGTGGAGGAAAGCTGTAGAGGCAGAAGGCTCAGTTCCTTTGTGCTTGTGTCCAATTCCTGCTATTTTTCATTTCTCCTTCCGAGGTGTCTGTGTTCCCAGAGGCAGAAGGACAAATGACTCCCTCTGACTGCCATCCAACAGGCTTTGGAAGGCAGCTGTTGGGAGGTATGGTGACAGCTCTCCTTCCTCTCCTGCAGACATAACTTATCACCTCCCTGACATGCTGCACTTCCTGAGTTGCCTCTTGAAATCCCCGGTTTGGCAGCGTGATGCGGTGGACCTGCGAGGCTGTCAGGATGAATGTGCATCTCAGGAACAGTGCAAAGCTTGGCCTCATTTTCCTCCAAGTCTCCTAAAGTTCCTCTGACAGAGAGGTGATGGCCCTCTGCCTCACTCATTTTTCTGTGCTTGGTTTTGTTTTCTGTCTTTGGAGTCAGAAAATAGGGAATTTGCTCCACTTTAGGAGTCATCCTTTGTGAGAATATGAGCTTCAAAACATCAGGATATTTGCACATGCAAGGGCTGTGTGGAGGGCAACACGAGGGCTCAGGGAACTTCAAGTTTCAGGGTCCTACCTCTTGGCCACATTCAAATGTTTGGTCTTGTAACGTGTGCTCATTTGGCTTTTTGTTTTCAGCTCCTGAAGTTCTGGCCCAGAAACCCTACAGCAAAGCCGTGGACTGCTGGTCTATTGGGGTCATCGCATACATCCTGTGAGTATCTGTTGGGTTTTCAGTCACAAGAGTTGGGACCTGCAACATTCTCTCCCACCATGTAGTTATGCATTTCATCTGGTCCAAGAAAGTTCATCTCTGACACTTGTGACCCAGGATAACATGAACCCTGGACACCTCCCAGTTGCATAAAGGCTGAAATTTGGGCAGAAGTGGTAGGAAATGAATGAGGAGCCTTCAAAAGCAAAAATCCTTGTTCCCGCCTGAGCTACACTGTGTGCAATAGTATGGGCTTCTCCAGGTTGTGACGTTAGTGAAGCTATTCCCTCCCCTGCTCAGGTTAGCTTTGACAAGAAACAAATTTGGCCATGTCCACAGAGCACAGCATTATGCTCACAGGCGTATCCTGAAGGGCCGCCTCTCTCAGGGCATCACTGTAATGATTTTTGTTCCCTGGGGCAGGCACAGAGGGAGATAAGGGGGGAAGAGCTTTTCATGTACTGCAGTGAATTATTCTCATCAAAACATAATGCAAAGTCTTGAGATTTTTACTGAAAATGAGGGATCATTTTCCTTAACAGATCGAACCATCAGGTCTCATAGGAGAGGGTGAGCTGATTTGTGCCCTGTCAGTTCTGTCACTCTTCTATCAAGCCATTAAGCATCTCCATTCTTGGCTGACATTTGCTCCTCTAGTGGGGCTAATCGCTGCTCAAGGGAGTCGGGATTCATTGCTTGAGAAAGCTACAGGACCAGGACTTTTGTGCATTCTCCAAAGTGGTGGATAGATCTCAGAAATCATATGTTTATGGAGATTTAGTGCCTGTTCTCATTCAGTACCTGTCCTTGAGGTCAGACTAGGTTGCTAAGGTCTTTATCCAGTTGGGTCTTGAAATCCTCTGAAGGTGGAGACTGCTCAAGATCTGTGGGCAACCTGTTCTACTGCTTAACTGTCCTCATGGGGAAAAGGTTTTTCCTTATATCCAGACTTGTCTCCATGAAAGGGGCAGCCAGTACTCTAGATGTGGGTGCACCTTCAGTGCTTGAGCCATGGAAGTAGGTAAGCCAACTCCTGTCCCAGTGACAATGTTTGGAAGGCTTGGAGAGGTGTCCTGGCAACTGTGGTCACAGGTATGCCCTGGTGCCAGGGGTCCTTAGTGCTGTCCAGAGAAGGGCATCCATAACATTTCTGGGTACCATCATCTGAATCCAGCTCTGTCTTCATGAGCATATGAAATCGCTGTTAATATTTGGAATGAGAAGGAAATGCAGAACTTGTTGTCTGTGAACCTGTAGGAAGACTCCCTCTAGCTTAGGGGCCTGTCATGATGGGGTGGTCTGTGCTCAGGGCTCGGGTCTGTGACTCCATGCACATCATTCAAATAACAGTTGCATAGGTTGCATCTGCACAGCGTAGCAGACTTTGAAGCAAGAGCTATTCATGTGGGTCTTTGAGAGGAGGTCAGGCTTTTGCCATGGGCTGACCCAGGCTGACCCAGGCTGACCACGCAGAGCACAAGAAGCCTGTTCGTTTTGTGCAAGAGAGCACAGAGCTGCTGTGTAGCTGTTGACTGCTGCAGAAACAGATGTCTTTTCATGCCAGCATTACCAGTGCTTTCCCTTTTTTTTTTTAATTTTTCCCTTTTACACAACTGTCACAGTTATACAAGACTGAAGGAAAAAGCAGCTCCAATGAGGCGCAGCATTAAAGCATTCCTATTTTGTTCCCTTTCTCCTTATGCAAACATTTCATAGCTTGTCAACATGAATAACTTTTTGATGGTGTAGTAGAACTATTTTTGCCAGGACAAACCTCATTGCTGTATTATCCACTCTGTGCAATGTTCATTCTTTACATTTTCATTTAGTCTTGAGCATAAGTTATATGCTACCCAAAACAGCTTTTTTATATTAAGATAGTATAGGAAGGCTTTATTTATTTGCATGTATGTTTATTTATTTAAAACAAAGTCCTGCCTAAAAACATCAGCTTTATGACTGGCTTTCCAATCTACATGAATATTTGAAAGCTTGTTGAGTACAAAACTTTGCAGGGGGATGGATTTATCTTGGAGCAACCATCAATAGCAGGATGCAAAAAGCTTTTGCATAACAAAGCAAAAATCAACAGTGCTGATTCTGACTTTGTGGAAAAGCCCAGTGGGACATGCTACAGCAGTGAGGAAGACAGCAGACATGCCAAAATACCTCGGAGGCTGCTTCACACATCACTCCCTAGTGCTCTTTTAGACGAGGATGGTGTGTGCTGACCCAAACTCACCGTTTTACACAAGCAAACCTGAGCATGGAAGGCCTAGGGGTTGGGTTCATTGATGTTTTCGGTCCTTGCCAGCCATGGCAGGACAATCAGGTAGAGTCTTTTCTGTTGCTTTTGTAGTACTTTGATGAGTGCCAGCTTCAGAGAGCGGGAGGAAGGTGGATGCAGGTAGAAGACAGCAGTAGGTTCAGTTTATTGTCAAATACCCACCATGAAAATATGTGTCCATCTGGCAGCCCACAGGAGGGCTGTGGACTGTTGCATCCGAGTTGCCTGGAGATAAACTTGGCTCTGCTTTCCTCCAAGTTTAAAGTCCCATTCAACCATAGCTCATGCACCACAGGTCTTTTTTGCTGGAAGACCTGTTGTTATTTCACTTGTTGCTTTTATGTGTCTTGCGAAGGAATACAAGTGAGACAGTGCTAAGTAATGTGTCCTCCACACCCAGTTTACGAACACATCTTCAATAGGTGAAAGGTTTCAATCTCATCCATAATCCTTCCCCCTTCCTAAGCAAGGCTGCTCCTTCTGCAAGGTTCAGCTCAGTGGTTTCCTGCTCTGTTTTCCAAATCAGTGTGTGCTGGGCTTGTCAAGCAAGGCATACACACTCCTCAAATCTAAATTCCCCATTTGCTGTATGGGGAATTCCCAACCCTGAAGGCTTAAATCAGTTTAGTAAGAATGAGTCCCTATGAATTCCTGTTTGCAGGACAAGGAAACCTTTCAGGATTTCTGTGCTTCATGTAATGAGGACTTGATTTGTATTATGTACAGTCAAAATGAATGGCAACAATGCGTTGCCATAGAAGGAGCACGGTAATGTGTTTGCCCGACTGTTACTGCTTGGGTGGGATTGGGTCTGAGATCAAACCACCTCCTTGAATATTTCTGCATGTGAGCTACATCCTTCAGCTCCTGTTACAGTCAGCAGCGCGCCACGGCTCACTTTGGTTACCCTAACGTAGGTGCTTAGTGCTGTTTCAGTCACATACAGCGTCCCGCCTGGTCTCAAGCTGTGGCTGCGGGACAGTCCAGCCCCCCGTAGCCCCATGGCTACCTGCCAGCTGGGGACAGGCGTCCTGTGCACTTGACAGCTTCTCCAGCAGCACAGGGCTCTACGTGTGGGCACCTCAACCCAGCCTGGGTCAATGCAAGCAGTCATTTCGGTGGGATGTGCTGTTCAGTTGCCTAAACTTACGCTTTTACTACCACACTGGGGTGTCCGGGACAGCCATGTGGATTTGGCAAGTGTAACACACTGCGGAGACCTTCCTTCTGGAGTGGCAGATGGAGGCCAAGCGGGAGACCATGGACCGTGTCAAATAGCACCAGATGCCCACGCTGAAGCTACTGGATCACACCCTGCTCCATACTCAGCCTTCACAGTATGGTTTCATCTGCTTTATGGTACATTTGCATCACTCTCCAGTCTTGATTGACTCCATCTCTGTTGACTGCAATGGGAGCTTAGAAACCCAGCCTACATATTACGTGTTCTAATCTTGAACTGGGTCTCATCCTCGCTTCCAGGAATAGCCAGAAACTGCAGGCATCGCCTCATAAAAAACTGGATGTCAGGGGTACAGTAAAGACAGAGAGGAAGAGGGGTCCTTCCCTAAGCTGGAAGGAAGTAGCCCTGCTAAAGTGTCTGATACCACCAGTGATGGGCACAGGTTTAACATCTAGGTTTGCTGTCTCAGCAGCGCCACACCGCCGGAGGTAGCAGAGCCCGCGTGCTCACAGTGTGGCACGGCGCTGAGATGCCACAAGCACCAGCAGCATAGCCACCCTGCTGCAATGCTGGTAGTTAATCCTGTCCTGAGCAGGAGTTATTAATTCCAATATGTCACCACACCCATCCAGATATGCCATTTCCAGCTCCGCAGTCAGCACAGTTGGAGCTACTTGCACATGCCCCAACCAGTCAGAGACGTATTTATGCATAGGGCAATCCAAGCACATCATCCTGTATCACCTCCCCACCTCTCCCACGAATCCTCACAGCCACTCTGAACAGACCATTGTCATTTAAGAAGACGGAAACTCAGGGGAATCCAACACAGAAGCAAGGCATAAATTAAAGATGCTTTGAGCTATTATTACGGCAAGTGGTTTGAGTGCCCCAGACACAACTCAGTCTCACATGAGAGCCTTTAGTTTATGACACTGGAAGAATAAACTGTTTCTGGGGCACCAACACTCTAGACAAATATTCACTTCTATGATATGCAAGGTGAAGGATGTCTTAGGAAAGAACACCTTTGTTTCAGTGCCAGTCTCTAATGCTTCTCGTTAATGCCAGCCAGACTGCAGAGGCTGCACCAGTGGAGTTTTTATCAAAACCTGGTTTGCATGAGAAGTCATTATTCACACAAACTAATTTTAGTAGCCTGAAATTTCCTGTTATTCCAGTTGCAAAATTTCTCAATTTGAAACAGTCTCACTGTTGGGCTCAGCTTTCTGCTTATCACAAGGTAGTTTTGGTACATGTTCAGCTTAAAAACATAAAGCATAACAAGAGCAAGAGACTTCACTGGATTCCCAGCAGCTGGATTATGGACCTGTCTGGGTCACATGAGAGGTTACAAAAGCTTAGGGAGCTGAAATACCGATTGCATGCATACCTGATCTAACAAAGATCAAGTTAATATATGTAAAAGTTAGAAGATCATGTTCAAAGCTGGAGAAGCACCCGGGGCCACAGAATGCTCTGCCTCAGCCCCTGGTTATTCATCCTCAACACCTCCTGTCTCTTCTGCAC